TGAACTAATATTTGTAAGAGGTAATTTTTTTTCCATTCGTAGGAGGAGGGCATTTCCACTTCAATAAGCTAAGTTTAACTATATTAAGTTAGAACTCTGTTGTCTAACACACCTGTGCTTTTATAACAGCTTTATTTTAAGCCGATTATTATTTAAATAAGTATGCTAAAATGTTAGTGTATTGAGAACATTGAAAAATTGGCTTTTATGCATCTTATAGAAATTCATTTTTTTCTATATTGAAGGCCTCTAAACCACACAGTCTTTCTGTACAGCCATATTTGCCTTTTAATCCTTCAGCAAATATTTATTGAGGGTATACAGTGTGCAAGACTTGGTGTCAGAGCTGAGGACCCAGTGGCTCGTGGAACTGATTCTGGCTCCTTTATTCTTTGTTAGCCAGAATGCTAATATTGTGTGTACTCGCTACTGCAGAGTTGTTTTGACTGTACTGATTTGCAAACATTAACAACAAAATATAGGGAACTCTTGGTTAAAAACCCTGGGACTGGGTATAATCCCTTGTCTACCACACCATGTATAAAGTCCGTGAAAATATTGAAGGCCAAGCTTCACAAGATGCAGAGTCAATATAGTTATTTTCCTGTTTTGTCCTGCAACCTGTGACTGTTGTCTGGCTACACCAATGCACATTATTCTGTCTGCAGTGTGGGAATTTGCTTAAAATCTTGGACCATTCTAAACAACCAGTGTAGTATCTGAATATGTATGTGCACAACATAACAGGGAAACCTGAATGTAGGGTTTGTTCAAAGAATAAGGCTCTGTTCCTCACCACTGTTTAATGGCCAAAGAATGAAGTGTATACTTTGAAGCTAAGTTTCAGATTGCCTAGGAGGTATGGGACAAATACATTTCAGAAAGAATATGAGGCAGTACAAGTTATCTTCAGGCTTTGGTGTGAGTGGCCGTTCAAGCACAGAGCCTTTTATTCATTGATTTGCACAAATATTTACTGAACTCCTAATCTCTGTGCCAGAACTTTTGGTGAATAAGACAAAAAGCCCTCATTTTCACTCAGCCTCTCTGTCCCCATTTCTTGGACAAATAGTGTAGGATGTTTTAACATAGAACAACTTTTTATTCATTCATTCAACATGTATTTGCTTGAGAATCTATAATACAGGTACACTATTGTGCGATATTAAAAAGAGACACCATCTCTGCTCTCAAGGACCTTGCAAGCTTGTTTGTTTGTCACCCAGTCGTCACTTATTCAAAAGAATGTGCACTGAGCTGGGCATTGTGCCAGATCAGTGCTAGGGAAATACAGAGATGAACAAGAGCACACAGTCCCTGAAGGGCTGCAAGTCCCAGCCTAGAAAGGCAAACAACATAATATCATTGGAAGAGTATAGTATGATAAGTGATAATAATTAGCTCTTCCTGCTATATTGGGAGAGTGCAGAGGATGAGCACAGAAGTGGAATTTCCTAAATTAGCTCTGTGTAGGTGAGAGGTCAAGATGTGGTCTTTCCTTTTATTTTTGGTGGCTGGCTGGTACGGGGATTGAATCCTGGACCTTGGTGTTTTCAGCATCACTCTAGTCAACCGAGCTAACCGGCCAGCCCCTAAGAAGTGATTCTTGATCTGACTTTCTGGTTGGGTCTGGAGAGAAGAGATGGCTTGGAAAGGAGAATGGAGGGAATTCCAATTAAGGAAAACAGTTCAAGTAACAATAAGTAGCTGTAAGGCACCAGGCAACTTTACAAAACTGCAGGTACTTTATTTGATTTGGCTGTAAGAGGTGGTGGCAGATGAATTCTAATCTAGTGAAACATGTGCAACATAAACAAAAACTAAATCCTTGTAATATTGGCACAGTAAATAGCTCAATGAAACAGATAGCCCAGAAACAAACAAACAAACAAACGTACTGTGTGATGAAGTAGGTATCACAAATCAAAAGGGAAGTAATAAATAATACTGGGACAGTTGATATGCTATTTGGTAAAACAATGGATTCTTATTCCAAATGATTTTTATTTATTTATTTTTTTGTCTTTTTTCGTGTCCGGCAACGGATCACAACCCTCAGTGTCGCGCCCGTACCGGACCGGGACCGGCAACGGGATCGCAAACCTCGGCGTCGCGCCTGCACCTCGCTCAGCCAGTGAGCGGGAACCGGTCTGTATGTGGGATCCGAACCCTCGGCGGGAGCGCCGCTGCGCTCCAAAGTGGCGCACTGCAGCAGTGCGCCACCGGGCCGGCCCCCAAATGATTTTTAGTCAGGTCTTAGGGGCTAGAAATTTAGAATTTAGAGGATTAAGGTTGCCTTCTGTGAATTAAAATTTAAGATTAACACTAGTGGGTCAGAGGATGTGTGTGTGTGTGTGTGTGTGTGTGTGTGTGTGTGTGTGTGTGTAAGTAAATCAAATCTAAGGCACAAAATATCTTATGTACTATGTCAGCTTGTTGAATGTTTTGATCCTATGAACAGGGCCAGCTTCATGGGCCCCATACTCCTGAGGGCCCTGAGTTTGGTTTAATGCTGTGCTGTTGCTGCCCTCTGGAAAGTCTTAATGTTTGAATATGAGGCCTATATTTTCTCTGTGCACTGGGCCCTACAAATTATGCAGCAGTCCTGCCTATGGAGTCATGATGAGGTTGATTGAGGTTGATCATCCATGGATTCAGAAAGTTACAGAGCAAAGCTTTGGAAATAGATGTCCTCGTGCTCTGTGGAGAGTTGCAGCCAACACAGTTAAAGTGTCCCAGCCACATTAGCAGGACCATCTGTATTGTGTATGCAGATACCTCAGGCTGTCCAGCATGATGCCATTAAACATTCCAGTTTATTTGAGAAATTCTCTTCCTTCCCATTTCCTGCCCACTAAGCAACCTTTTAACTGTAATTTGATTTCTTTTGTAGTTTTCCTACAGGGAGAGAACTGGCTGGCCATGCTGACCCCATACTTTATTCAGGAAGTTAGTTAGTAAGTTGGTACTCTGGTTATATGCATCAGTGAGGTTCTTTAATGTGAGCCTGTCCCTGAGGAGTCTGCTTCTGTTAGATTTCTGAGACAGAATGCTGAAGTCCAGGCACGTGCTGGTAAAGTCACCAAAGCAATCAAGTGTAGAACAGTGTTAAGAGCAAGGGCTTTGGAGTCATGACAGTCAGACAATCCTGGGATCAAATTTAAGTCCTGTTGCTTACCATGATGTATGATCCTGGCCTCTCTGTGCCCTGATCTTTTCATCTGTCATATGCTGACTTTAACACCTACCTTAAGATCGTTGTGAGATTGAATGAGATAATGTACACTAGGTCATGGTTTTGCAGCCTTAGTACTATTGACATTTTCGGCCAAATAATTCTCTGGGGGTGGGAGGTGGGGTGGCCGTCCTGTTCATTGTAAGATGTTTAGCAGTATTTCTGGCCTGTACCCACAGGAGGTCATAACCCTCCCCCTTGCCCCCCATAGTTGTAACAATGAAAATGTCTCCAAACATTGCTAAATATACTCTATGGAGGGCAGAGGTGGACCTGGTTAAGAACCACTAGTCTTGGTGTATAGAGCAGCGCCCGGAGAAAAGAAAGCTAACATCAGGTTTTATAATAATAATGCCAGTAGTGGTTGTGATGATGATAATACTCTGGATGTGATCTTGAGGCCCCTGGGAAGACATTCGTCAGCCCTCCATCTATTCTTTGTTCTTTAAATTTCTGTATCTATGCCAGAATAAACTCCATATGAATTAAATAGTAAATGTAAAAAGATCTACCTTTAAAAAACTGAAAGAAAAGGGAAGTAACACATTTTTAGTTTTGCAAAGGATTTCCAAGCTCAAAAGCAGTGGTACTTTTGTGATGTTTAATGTTGGGTTTAAATCACATTGTGTAATTTTCTTCCCTGATAGATGTCATTACATTAAAAATAAACAAGCATGCATAATCTCTAAGAACTTTGTAATTCTTATTGAAGAGTAAATTGGATATAAATGTTTTTGAGTAGTATGACAAAGTGGTATTAAGAAACTGGTTTAAGTCAAAAAGAAAGCCTTTTTTTTCTGGCTGGTACAAAAAAAGAAAACCAAGTATTCCCCATATATAAGGGCAAAGGAGGAAAGATAGTCAGCCTGTAAACATTTGAAATTATTCAAATTTAATAATTTTTTAAAATTAAAATCCTTTCTTCATTTAAATTGGAAAAGATTCTAAGCAATAACATCCAATTCTGTTGTAAAGTTAGAGGAGCCTTTTTACAGGTACAGCCCCTCTGGGAAAAAAACATGGTTATGAATATGCCTTAAAAATTGTCATATCTTTTACTCCTTCGAAATAACATTTGGGAATAATGCCTATAGCACAATCTGAAATGTAGACAAATATTTATGCATGAAGATTTTTAGTGCAAAGTTGTTTTAATAAAAGCCAGCTAAATGTTCAGCATTAGGGAGGTAATTAACTCTAGCTTATGATAAATAATTTGTAGTCCTTAAAAACAATGTTTATATAATGTTTCTGGTAACACGCAAAATTCTTATAATGTTAAATGAACAAAGCAGGCTTTAAAGTTGCATATGCAATAAAAACAACTCACAAAAAGACTGGAAGGCAATATGTAAAATGTTAATGGTATTTCTTCCTGGAAGATTGGAGTATGGATAATTTATGAACATTACTCATATGATTAAAGTGATCATTTCATGGCAGACTTAGACTTTTTGGGAGTTTCTGTTCTTTTAGGTAATTTTTTGATCTTCTGCATTTCTAGATGAAGGGTTTTGAACTATGTTTCCCTGCATAGGAGATAGCAAAAAACAATTGTTGATGTCTTAAAATACAGTTTTATATTTAAAGAAATTCCTTATAATTGCAGTATGGAACCAATTTGAGAAGGTAGACATCTGTCCCTGGATAAGGTGAATTAATGGTTTTTTAAACGATGTTACTCTTTTTGTTCATTAAAGATATGTTTATTGTTTTTTGATGAAAGATGAAAGAATCTTTAAAATGTCAATTTTTATATTTATAGTATGTGCAGAAGCTTACAATCCTGATGAAGAAGAAGATGATGCAGAGTCCAGGGTATGTATTTTACTGAATGAATTAATTTTAAATTATTACACTTGTATTATATAAGGAAAATAATAGTAGAAAAGATCTTAACAGGCATACACGTTAATGGGAGACATAATGGAATTATTTTGGCTATTTCTTTTCCTAGTCTTTGATAGCCTACTTCCATGTCAAGTTCTGTGGAATTACTTTTATTCAAAGAGTATCTCTCTTTGAATAAAAGGAAAGATGAACATATGCGCTCATTGCAGTTGTAGTTTTCTTTCTTTTGCGAAATATATCCTGGTGATAAAAATATTTTCAGCTATCTTTCCCATAGTAATAATGTCAATTTCCTTAGTGTTTCTAGTAAAGAAAAATATTGGGAAAAACCTTCTGCTCTTATTAATTTATAACAACAGAAGTTTATCCTGAAACAAACAAATCACAATAAAATTACATCTAAAATGTCAGTATAGCAGTTATTACTTTTTAAAATCTATGAGTCTTTTTCTTTTTTTGGTGGCTGGCTGATATGGGTATCCAAACTCTTGTCCTTGGTGTATAACACTGCACTCCAACCAATGGTGCTAACTCGCCAGCCCCAAAATCTATGAGTCTTGGGAGTTTGCTTAGCAACTGATTCTTGGAGGCCCTGATGTTTTTGTAAGAATTTGTCCAGCGTTGTTTGAAGCAGTTTTTTTTTTTTTTTTTTTTTTGTCTTTTTTCGTGTCTGGCAACGGATCGCAACCCTCAGTGTCGCACCCGTACCGGACCGGGACCAGCAACGGGATCGCAACCCTCGGTGTTGCACCCGCACCTCGCTCAGCCAGTGAGCGGGAACCAGTCTGTATGTGGGATCCGAACCCTCGGCGGGAGCGCCGCCACGCTCCCAAGCGTGCGCCACCGAGCCGGCCCTGAAGCAGTTTTTAAACAGTGTCCTTTAGCTCAGTTCTCCTATTATTTATTCAGTAGAAAGAAAACTAAATAAGAGATTACTGTGCCTGGAAATGGAAAATAATATTATACTTTTTTTCTTTTTTAAGTATGTACTTTGCAAAAGTCTCCCTTGTCTCTTTGGCCTTATAAAGTATAAACAAAAACAAAAACCTATTTCCGTAGCTCTGAAAAATACTTCAATAAGATTGATTTTTAATGTGGAAAAGCAGGTACTACATCCCTACGTCATTACATCATTAAGCTCCCTGAAATGTATGTAAAATCCAGTGGCAGAAAGATCAGGAGCCTTTTAATGCAGATCTTGAAGTCCCATTTTACTCCTGTACCTATAGGGATTCTCAGCATGAGGGTTGAGGGAATTCATTTCTCAGTACCAGAACTTAAATTATTTTAATGGTGTCCACAAATCCCAGCCTGGAAATTATGTGGCCTTAGGATCAAGATATTTTTATTTATCCACGGCATGCTGTTACTACTCGCAGTCTGAAAAACTAGTCCTTGCCTGTCATATACTTTATTTATGTATCTAACAGAAACAACAATGGGTGACATTTGAAGACTATAAGTATTCTTTATATTTGTGTATTAATGTATATGATAAAAGTTAGCAATTGAGATGAGTTTGGTAAGCTAGTTTAAATTAGTAAAAAGCTAACTTAAAGAATATTTAACAGTATAGTTTGAAAACAATATACAGTATCTCATTGACTCAAGGATTGTTAGGCCGTGAGTGGAATTTTATCTACCATGTAATCCATGAGATAGGTAAAGTGTTTCGGCTAGTTCACTTCAACTGATTTCTAACAGTTTTGTTGGGGAGGCTATACCAGTTAAGATTCATTTGGCTGTATAAAAGAACCCAATCACATTGAGATACCCCTGAAAAGAAAATACTAGGGAGAGATTATTGGACAATGCTTGGAGATCTTACGGAATTCCAGAAAGAGTTCAAAGGCCAAGCTGTAACTAGCAGGCAGGAGCCAGCCCACCTGCTGGGCCCTTCAACAGCAAGGGTCCGGGACTTAGAATATTAAATCTGGAAGGGACTCAGGTAACAATCTTTCTTTATTTCTGTGTGTCTCTGTTCAAAATTCCAGTTTCCAGTAAGTTTCTGACAGACCCAGCTTTGGCCAGGTGGGGGCAGGGTCAAAAAGTTCAGACTTGAGTATTTGGGAACCATCTCTGTTAATAAGGGCAGTTCCTAGAGAGAGAGGAATCTTTGTGGGTTGGTCATTCACCCCAAGAGTTGCCCCTGTAACACGTATTTAAGGTATTCTAATAGTTTTTTAAAAAATAATTTGTGTATTAATTGTATGTTGATGTTTATAATAAAGTGCTTAGGTTCTCAATTAGGTTGAATATTCTCTCCTCTAAACATGTTACTAAAAACTGTACTTTTTTTGGTCTTAGAAGCTATAAGGCAAATTGCACCATAGCCCCTGGAAATGATTATTACAGATTTAAAAATTAATTAGATCTAGGCAGATAGTGGAAAATGTCTGTGAGGAAAATGTATACTGTATATTGATAAAGTAACATTTCATTTGGACAGTTTGTATTACTTTTGGGACTGTCTATAATCACCAAATCTGCCTGCTCCTGGTCAGAGTGGCAGAAATAAATTTTAATTAAAAACAAAGTGGCTTCCAGTATAATAAAAATCACACTTTGGGTATATTGCCGAAGCTTAGCAATCCAGAGACAGATCTCTTATGAAGGACAATGCCAAGCCAACAGGAAAAAGTGAGTCTTAAAAGTGGGAGAGCATCTTCTGAGCAGGTGGGAGATTGCACCCGATTTCTGACTATTTGCTTTGCAGGACCAAGAGTGGCATTTTACTGGGAGGTTTGGGTGCTGAGGAGTGATGGCAGGGGAGGGAGCAGAGGGAAAAAGGGAGACAGAGAGCTGTAGACAACAGCAGTGGGTAAGGATTGAGAAACAAAGATAGTCTAGAAGTGTTAATTGACTAGAACAGAAGGAGGAGGGAAGAGAGAGAAGAGAGAAAAGCTGGGCTTGAGTGTGAGGGCTTCTTAGGAAGTGAATGGGCAAGGGGGACTCAAATTGACAAGAGTAAAGCAGACACATGATGGTGACTGGTGACATGACAGCCCCAGCCTTCTCTCTTTGAGGATGGAGCTTGTCAGCAGGGAGACATTTATGATTACCTCGGTTTGAAGTTCTAGATGGATTTTGTGAGGTAAGAAAACCCTTTTTGTTTTGTTTTATTGTGTTAGCCTTTTTTATTTGAAGTAGGAAGAAGTGAATTTTGGTTGATGTGATTTAGTAAATATCTACATTTTAAAGGTTTCTTGTATGGCCGTGAGTCAGTAGGCACCAGGATCTGCTTTTTCTGTGTTCATGTGTCATCTCAGAATCTGGTTTGAGATGAATATTGGTCAGAGAGTAAACAAAGGCTTACATGTACGTTACCCTTAGGAGACAAAATGTAATGACTTCTCTCACAAGCTAATGTTCTTTCATGTAGTGTATAGATAATACATATAAATAGTATATATAAGTAGTTTACATAGAAATAGTGCACATGTACTGTAAATTTCCTCAGTTCTTCTTGGGCTCATGATTTTCATTAATTTTTAGCCATCTGATAATGGTTTAAAATGCCGATTGAAATTTCCCATTGTGAGTTTAGATGTATTTGTGGGTACAAAACCCACAGCTGCCTGATTCTGGTTACTCTGGTGGTGCAGCCAGTTGACTGAAAAGGTGAGGCTTCTGTCCGTAGGCTCCCATGGTCACTGTTGAGTGCACATGAGAATAGGAAAAGGTGGCGTGTAGGTCTCCAGGAAACCAACTCCATGTCTGCTGCTTTTTGGGCTGTCTCCTACCTCTAACTTATTTTTATAATTAGAAACTATCAACATTCACAGGAGAATGGAACTTTTGGTTCAAGTCAATTGAGCCTTCTGCTAGTCAAAAAGGACTCTGGAGAGTTGGCAAGTCATACTTAACAGAGGGCATCCTGCCAATCTTCACCCTCCTAGAATGAAAGTTTAGTGAGGATATAGTACACTAATTTTCTTTGAGTTCACTCTAAAATGAGTGCACTGCCACTCCTTGGATTCATTCTCTCTCTCTCTCTCTCTCTCTCTCCTCTCTCTCTCTCTCTCTCTCTCTTTCAGAGTGGCAGTGCATGGTTGCTTGCTCCCTTCTTCTAAAAATCACTTACTCACTGTGGGGGCAGTTAAAGACATTTCTTTAACATCTAATACATTTGAGAATTTACTTGCTTCTAGAGACTTTTATCAAGTTGTAAAGGAAAAAAGCTACATCCTGAAAGAGTATTAAGCTCAGTAGAAACAGAATAAAGGCAGTCTCTAGATTTTCAGTGTAGCTATCATAACCTGTTGTCCTTTTGTATGTGTCCCCATCGGCTGGGAGCTTTGGAGTCTTTTAGCCAGTGAAGACCTCTATACAATGAACTTGCTAACCTGGGGGAAAACACTCTTGAAAAACACTGAAGTGCTATATTGATCAATGTATACCATTGAGACAGGTTCTATTACTTTAGTTAGTGGGCTGATGGTTAGTTACTAGTAACCTAAAGTAAATCTCAGCACTAACTTAAAGTAAACTTGAGCACTAACAATTCTTCTTTCTAACATCCCTATTGTTTTTTGTTAGGAGATTTTTATCTTATGAGTGAGATGGTACTTACTAATGTGTTTGTTTTTGTGTTTTTAATTTGGTGTCTTTTTAGATTATACATCCGAAAACTGATGATCAAAGAAATAGACTACAAGAGGCTTGCAAAGACATCTTGCTGTTTAAGAACCTGGATCCGGTAAGATAAATCTTAATAATAGAAATGGGGCTGGCTGGTTATTAGCTCAGTTGGTTAGAGTACAGTGTTATAACACCAGTGTTTGAATCCCCGTGGCCAGATGCCAACCCCCCCCAAAACAAACAAACAAACAAACAAAACCAGACTGAGACTGACTCCAGCTCAGACGACCTGTCTGCGCAACTTCCCCTGCCCTTCTGGCTTCTCCCTAATAAATCTGCTCACTCAAACCCTTTTGGGGGAGAAAAAAAAAAAAAGAAATGGCTTTTTTCAATGCCAATATCAAGAACTATGCAGGGTCTTGCATTTTATCTTTTTTACAAGCTCATATCACCCTGGGGTGATGGCAAAGGCCCCATCCTGGATGCCTGCATAGGCAGTGGCTTGTGCTAGAGGAGAGTAATATCAAATTTGGGGGATACACTTCTGTTGGAGCCAGGAGTAATAAGCTTGGGCTGTTTGTTGAGGGAAGACATTATCTCATCCCTCAAAGTTACTTGCTGCAAACACAGCCTGAGAAATGGCCCAGATAAAGAGAGGCTAGGACCTCTGCATTCTTCGTGCACCCACCAGGAATATGCAGTGATGCTCAGGGCCCAAGGACAATTGTCTCTCTCAATGGCCAGTAATAATAATTATATTTCAATGTTTATAACGTCTATATTACATGTATAAGGGTACTTCAAAAGGTTGGTGGAAAAATAGAATTAAAAGATAATATGAATCTTTCTGTGAACTTTCTAAAGACCCCCTTGTATTTTAAAAGGAACATTTTACGTAGCATTAAAGTGGGGGGGATTTTTGTTCTTTGTAAGGATTTTGAAATCTTTAGTCTTTGGTTTTGGTGCTTATGGAATACCCATTCTCAGTATGAGTGAGCATGTGTTGCACTGTGACTTAAATGTTCTGCTTCCTTCAACACAGATTATGCTTATTCATTATTAGTCATGTAGGAAAGAACCCCAGCTGCCAAGTGCCAAATGTGGAAACTGAGTCAACTTGTGTAACTTACCTCAATTATTTTTTTTTTTTGTTAAACTCAGCATCTTCTAGTTTTAAGATTGATGCCCTAGAGGAGAAAGCATTAAATCAAGACCCACTCTTTTAAAGATGATAAAGTGGTTTTTTGTGTTTTTTTGTGGCTGGCTGGTATGAGGGTCTGAACCCTTGACATGGGTGTTGTCAGCACCATGCTCTAACCAAGTGAGCTAACTGGCCAGTCCCAAGATAAGGTTAAAAAGGACATTTTTTATAAAGATTAAGGTACTGTGTCATACCAGTTCTTCTATACTGGGTCATATTTATACCTTGAAATATTTAAAAATCTCCTTTGTTTCTAATACCAATTATGTTTATATCATGTCCTTCAGGAACACAAATTATGTTGTGACTTTGGAGATCTTGTTTTAGAACCACACATTAAGTTTGCATGTCCATCTCTGAGTCCAGATTACTGGCTCTTACAGCCTGAATTGACTATACCACAGATCCACCAGTCACTTCATCCATCCTTCTTGAGGGCAGGAACTATGTTTTTTCCATCTTTATGTTACTCTTTAGGTAGCAGATGCCACTCAAGCCTCTCTACACATACCAGGCTCTCAAAAAGAAGACATGGGACATTCTTGTTTTAACAAGAATGCTTTGAATTACCCTTTTATGTTAATCTAGGTGTTGCATATTTAATAATAATATTTTTGCCTGTATTTGTTATTTGTAATAAAATAATGGTATTTATCTCGTCTTATTAAAAGTTATACCAAACCCTTAAATATAGTTTCACTCTCATGATGTGATTTCACCTGTTCAAAATGGCCCTGATATGTCTTTGTCTGTCCAAATTTATTCACTCCGTTCATGCCTACCACATTTACTGAGAACTGTCACTGTACCAGCAGTGGTAGTCAGTGCTGAGGACACGAAGACGTGGTTCAATCCCTGAGCTGCTTTGAAGCCAGCCTGTGAATCAGATGTTCTCTAAGGCAAGGACCAATTCTGTATTTCATTCTTTTGCTCCAAATTCACACAGAAGACAGCTGTAAAATTAATCCTTAGTTTTATACTTAGAGGTAGGCTTCAATCAAGAATTCTCTATTTTTCAGTTAGAACTTTACATGGGAGAATTTCAGAGGTCACCACAAAGAGTAATTCTCAAGCTTTAATATGCCTATATATCACTAGGGAATCTATTAAAATGCAGATTCTAATTCCATAGGTCTGGAGTAGAGCTTGAAAGTCTGCGTTTCTCACAAACTCCCAGGTAATGTTGATGCTGTTGGCCCACAACATACTTTGAGTACCAAGAACTAGAGCTAGATGTGAAAGTGTTCAAGTTGAGTATTTTGTTACTGCCATATATTATTTTGTTTGCATACTTTCCTCTTCAATGACCCAGTATTTTAATGGTTTGTCAGTGACTAAGCAGTGATACCTTGGTGTCTATCCACTAAGTGATAAACATGCATAAGTGAAATAGTTGCTAGTTATATTTTCTTGGGATGTTGCCTATTCTGTCATTTAAATTAAAATGATTTTTCTTGTCATTTCAACTTTAATTCTTTTTAAAGCATTGTGAAAATTTTGGTTGCATTTAAAATATTTTTAAAAACTTCTGCTAGCAAAGTCTGGCAAGGAGCATCTATCCTTAATTAAAGTGATTATTTTAATAAACATAAGAATTTTTTAGATTCATCTCTCCGCTCCGCTAAAGGTCTTCAATATATACTTAAAAAGCCAGTTCATGGGGTGGGGGGAGAAAAAGCCAGTTCACAAATTACCATCATTGAATGTTTTATAGGGAAGAAGCAAACATATTTACTTAGTTGTTTCCAAAAGATCTTTTTTTGCATTTGAGCTCAAATCAGCTTGATTTATTCCTCTGGTATCTCAAAGTCTTTTCGAGACGATGCAGGATATAAATCAGTAAAAATTTATTTTCCTCAGAAATTACCACCCGGGATAATTCAGCCCCAAACATGGCAGATTGAAGGTTTTAGGTGAAGCTCATATTATAAGCAGCTTTCTAGTTTTTTATGATATACTTTATTTACAATAACCAATGCATTTTAATTGAGTTACATATTCAACTCATATAATCTGCTTGTCATGCAGCTTCTTTAAATTCAATTTCTTTACTACTCACTGTGTTCCAAGGCTTGTAGAAGGTGTTGGAGGTCACAGAGATATTTAGACATGGTTCTTGTCCTCCTGGAACTTATGATGAGGGATAAAAACACATATACAGAGCATTTTGGTAAAATGTAATAAATGCTGTGATATGGTCAGGGCACTATGAGAGGATGAGTATCTCTTAGCCTACCCTGAGGATTCAGAAAGCTAGTGAGGCCACGGAGCTGTGCTTCAGAAAATTAGTAGGGAATTGCCAGTTGACAGAAAGTACAGAGAATGTTATCACTAGAGCCTAAACTGGAAGCTTTCCAGTGACAGGAGTTAAGATGTGGGTACTGTGTTATGAAGGACCATAGTCAAATGCCAGCTGTAGCATTGGACACATCCTGTAGACAGTGGGCACAGAGAATGTAACAGTCAGATTTGTCTAAGGCCACTTTGGCAGCAGTATGGAGGATGGAGGTAAAGAGGGGAGAGCGATGGGGAAGGTAGTCAAGAACAAAGGAATGAGCCCAGTAAGGAAACCATGCCATGATCTAGGGAAAAGAAATGGGCCTGAACTGGGAAAGGGGAAAAGGACAGAAAGGAATGGTTCCACAAAATATTCAGTATTAACACAATTGGATTCTTCATGGATGATTTAATTGGGGCCTGAAGGAAAGAGTCTAAATAACTCCCAGTGTCTAGCTGGAATGACTGTAATGGTGCCACCTTTTCCTGAAATGGGAAAACTTGAAAGAGGAAGGAGAAAAAGTAAGTACTAATTAGTAAGAAGAATTATCTTGGCTTTGTATTTACTACCTCATTTGAATTTCCTGACGTCACTGTTTAGCTCAAAAATCTTGCACTACCGCACGACCTGGACCTCAGAACATTATTCCTTGGAGTGCTGTATATTCATATGCTGAGCACAGCATTTTTAATTATTAACCTCTTTGAAGATATCCTTTTCATGAATATTTTAAGGCTTGACTCAGTAGGCCATTTTCCTTTGAAATATTTCTAATTTGAGGCTAACTGAAATAATTTTTCTTTGCTATAGGATAGGCTCTATTATTATTGTAGAGTAATTATTGTTATTTCTTAAGTGAGTCAGAGCCCTTTACTGAGCTCCGTCTTGATTTTGCATTCTGTAGGAGAATTAAATGTGGATTTCCTACAGTAGATGTCAGTCATCATGGTAAGCCTCTGCATATTAAATATTTCCTAAGCTCTTTTCACTCTGTGCACAATTATGGGGAAATTACATTTTGATTGAATAGAACAGACACCTGTCACACAGAGAAGTTCTGTCTGTGTATGAATTCTTAGTTTTATAATATTTTTAAATGCAACTAATTTTAACATATCCAAAAAATTTACTGCATTAATTTATTTAATCTTTTTTCCCCATTTGACATTTAGAGTCAGAACTAATCAATAAAAGCTGATAATCCCCCTCCATTTGCCCTAAAGGAGTGAAAATATAAATAGCAAGCAAAACAAAATATTAGTAAACCATTTAATCAACCTTCAGAATTTTGATAGGTGACCATATGTTGCCGGGTTGATGAACTCATTTGAGTAAAATGCTCCCCATGGGACCAATTAGCACCACATCAAGAAAGCTCTATTTTATTACCACATTGGCTTCATATTCAGCCCTGTCTACTGTTCCACAAATAGGTACCAGAGCTCACAGAGGGACTCAAGAAGGGGATGAAAACTACTTCCTGCAAACCCATCATCATCATTCTTCCAAAAGTTTTCTTAACCCACATGAAGAGCAAAATTATGTTCTCTGTTTAAATAGTTTTATTTTTGCTAAATTAAAAAAATTAATATACATATACAATTTACGAAAACTCAAAAAGAACAAAAGAGTAGTCAGT